TACAACTTTATTGGTTTGTGCAATATTCAAGCAACCTTGAATTACCCAGGGTTTGTAGAAGTGTGGAACCTTTTATCTGAGGGTAATTTTGTGTGATTGGGTAAAGGCATCATCTTTATTTGCAAGGGAAATGTGTTGGGTTGTAGATGTTGTGTTTGAAGTAGTGTTGTTTGAGGTAGTGCTGTTCAATGAGTGTTTAAGATGTCTTGCTATAAAGTGTATTTACATTCACAAACACATGCATATCTCCACTCAACTTTCTCATTCACATTCCAGGGGCCACTGTTTAATTCTCTCCTCACACTTGCATTCTTAAACCCTTTATTGTGTTTGAATCATGGAGTTTTGGTTTTGTATTGGTTACTGTTTGTGTGTTTCTTTTGGTTCTGTTGTATCATCTATTGCTTCTTTGTGATTGTTCCTGTTTTGAAGAAGTGTTAAGGTAGATGTACACGTATAGGGACCAGACCCATATCTCTTTCCCCTCCTTTTTTGTGTTTTTATAGCATGTTTCTCAATGTGTGGTGTGTTCTTTTTTCTGTTGTTGGTTATGTTTCTTCAAATCTGGTTTCTTCACTCATTTTTTCTGGTGATTGTTTCTGTTGTGGGGGAGGGCTAATATAAGCCCTGACACATTTAGAAGGGATCCTTTGTAATTTGGTACCCTTGGATACACAGGCATATATCCTCCCTCAAGTTATGAGATCTACTGGTCCTGACCATTGCCTAGATATTAGATTTTTAATCATAACTGGTGCTTTGGAAGATGAAAGTATTTGAGTTTTATGTTGGTATTCATACCTGCTGTGGTTTGTCTCATCACAGTTTAAGAAATTTAGAACATATGATGCTTTCCATAAGTGTTCCTGGGGGCTATATACCAACTCCCCTCTTTTTTGCCTTTGAAGCATTTCTTTTAGTGTGCAGTGTGCTCTTTTTACAATTGTTTGTTCTGTGGGTGAGCCCGGCATGTTTGTGGAATGGATTATCTTCTGATTTGTGAGATATGTTTTAGCTTTTGCTGAATAACATACAGGATCACTGTTTCTGTTTATGGTTTTTGGAATTTTTGAAATTGCAAAACAATTACATTAGTATTTGGTAGTACCTTTTGCCTTTTTCTAGTGTGTGTTGTTGTATTATTCTGTTTGGAATGTGTGTGAATGGATGTGTCTCATGTAAGAGTTAGATTTTGTGTGATTAACAAGGAATTATGTGATATGTATTTTTCTAGGTAAATGAGGGTTAGTGAAATCTCGAAGGAAGGAGGCTTCGAGATGTCAAAGTAGCATAGCATGAATCAATTATAACATTCATAGGTTAATTACAAAACAATTTAAATGTCTTGCATATATGAGTAAGTTGTAAAACTTAGAGTCCCGGTCCACGGTTTGTACCTTGTTGTTCCATTGTCTTCTTCTGTTTGTCCAGATGTAGATGGTCTTAGTGTCCCATTTACTTATTTTTTGTAATCATTTTTTACTTTTAAAAACAATCTTGGCAAACATGTTAATAACAGTTCAGTCTATTTCAGATGAAAATTGGGCAGGAATAGATGTGAGGATCAGGTGAATGTAGTTTTTGAAGCAATAGCAGTGAGTCACTCTATGTTATAGTGTCTTTTGCTTTTTGGCTGAAGGCTTTAAGGATCATCTTTCGTTGTGTACTTTTCTTTGTATTGGAGATTCCATTGTTGGTCCTGTTAAATTTTTTTTGGAACACTTTACAGTCCCCATTTCTTAATAATATCAGTTAGAGCAACTGTAACCAGGTTTAATTCAGTCTCTCGGGTAGTTGCAATTTACAAGCAGCTATTTTTCATTCCTGTTGACATTATGTATGTTGTTCTGTGATAGCAAAATGTTTTGAGAATGTTTGAATCTAACAAATATGGGGATGTTTAAGGTTCTATACTTATTATTTGAATAACATTGTTATGATAATTGCATGTATGTGGATGTATTTGCGAATTTATTAACTTCTAATAACTTTTATTTTTAATAATTCAAATAAAGCTACTGGGAAATTAATGAAAAAATAGGGAAAAAATTTTTAAAGCTGTAGTGTTCTGGTTTTGGGGAGATAAACTTAAATGTTTTCGGTTAAAATGACACCAATTCATGTAGTGAAAGGCAATAGCAAAAGCTTTTAGGCAACAAAGAGAATTTTCTCTCTCTTTACACTATAAACTGAAGGTTTCAAATCTTTTTCATCTTGAGTCCAGCAATTGATTAGTAATCAGCATGCAATCTATGCTGAAACAATCTGTGGGTAAATTTACTTAATTCAAATTTAGCTCCCTAGTAAATTGCTTATATTGCTCCACTTTTTATAATATGTGTAGTAATTTTGTTTGCTGATTGATAAAAGGTTTATCTTGCATTCTTTAGCATAGCTAGAAGAATGTGAAACTGCTAAACCTAATGAAAGTTGTGTATCAGCCAGTTTTATACTTAAAAAATATGAATTAATGAATATATTGGGCTTTAAAATGGTGAGATGCTAAATTTTATTCCATGTGTAAATGTTTTTAAACTATTTTCTATTCTTAAGAAAACAATTTACAGTACTTTTAAGAAAACTGATTTGAAAACAAAAAAGAAAAAACCACAAATGTTAGAAGTAAAATTGATATTTTCTTGAAAATGTAAAATGCAGTGGTATGAGTGAATAGTTAATCAAGTTTTAGTTCGCTATGTTTTGCTTTCTTTTTCCCTTATTATGTAAGAAAGGAGATTTTGAGTGAGAGATAAGAGGGGTTTGCTTGTTGTTTTCCTCACCAAAAGTCACTTGTTTGTTTAGCCAAAGGGTTAGTAGGAAAGTTTTTATAGGAACAGGAATAGTGGTAGAAGATGACAAAATCTAATTCCACCCAGTTGTTAAGCAGTAAGCCATTGTTATTATGTTTGAGGGGCAACACATGGTTTCTTTTTTTGCAAAGGCAATTATGCAATGTGTTTTTTATCTTTTTCTTTAACTAAAAAGTAATTTGTAAAATCTTGGTTTTCAAAAATTCTAATCTTTTCCCACTCTGAGACAGGGGTAAAAAGTATGAAAATCCATCTTTCTCTAGGTTTGAGAGGTTGATAGATTAGTGAAAGGGGTTTTGTACATAGCAAGGCTGTGTTTATACGGTTTTCTAGTGTTGTGTGTAAATGCATCACCTCTGTTTTAAGGAAAGGCCACTGTATCACGGATTTAGGGCTATTTGTTTCTTGGGCCACTTGTGGGTTTAGCTGCAATGAAGCTGCCTTTGGGAAAATTCTGCTGTTAATTGACTTCCTCTTTGACTGAGGCAGCCTCTGTTCTACAGGATGAGTGATTTCAGTGGGTCCAATGAAAACAGGGTTAATGTCTGGGCTATTGCTGGTTATGATGTCTCTGTTTTGTTTTGGGGATGCTAGTTTAAGAAAACTTGTTAAACAGGTTTGGATGTTTTTTAAGAGCCATTGTGAGGTTACATCTGTTCTGTTGTTAAAGATGTTTGATATTCCTGTCTTTGCCTCCCATTCTAATTGTTTAATTTGGGTATAGGCCAATTTATGCATGTTTGTGTTTTGAATGGATTTGGAGGTGTGTATTGCTGTATGTTGCAGCCTTGTGGGGCATCTTTGGGCTTGTGTTGTATGAGGGATTTGGTTTTTTTGCTTTATCAAGGCTCTTGCAGTGACTGTGTGTAAAGGGTTATGTGTTTCTGCAGTTGAAATTGTAATTGGTTGTTTCTTTGCTACTTGTTTAGGTTTGGCTTTCCATGTTGTGTATGGCATATTGTCTAACAGCATTTTAAAATAGTGAGAAGTAAATACTCGATTTAGGGTCCCTCCTAGTATTTCTATTCTTCCCCCCTGTAACACAAAAGAACCTTTTATAAAAGTAGATAATTTGTCAATTAGTGAAGTTGTCCTTTTGTGACACAGAAAGTTAAATATGGTAGCTGATAGTTGTATGTCTGCTGTGTTTTGCAATGTCCTTTAGATTGTTGGTTGTGTCAGTAGGTGGATTGTGTTGTTCCAGCTGAAATTCCCGCAGCATAAAACCAACAGCTGCTATTGTTAGTAACGTAGCCAATATATATATTGTCCATTTTAACATCGGTAGCTTTGACTTCACTGATGGTCTCGGCTTGGGCAGGCATATGTTTTGTGTGCTTTCCCAGTCTGTATTCTCTTCTTTGAGTTGAAGTAGTAGCTGCAGCCATGTTTGCTGTTCTTCCTCTTCTGCGGGATCCAAAACTGCTTGTCTTTTTTCTGGTTGTCTCGTCTCGCTGAGTTCGGTTTCCGCAGCTTGGCTGAGATTTCTAGGGCGTCATTTTCTCTTCTTCCTCCTCTATCAGGCCGTCTTGGGCGTAGAAGCTGTTCTGAGGCTGACAAGGGCTGTGGGTTGGTTTCTTGGTACGAGTGCCACGGTGGTGTTTTAACAGTTGTGCATTTGTTGTCTGTTGGTTGAACTGCTGGTGACTTAAGAGGCGCTTTCACTTCAGCCTCATGCAGGGAAACGCACCTCTCCTGAACCCCAGCCCACTCTGTAAGCAGGACAGGGCTTTTTCCCTTGGCACCCTTGGTGCCTACTGGCGGCCCCTGGCCAGAGTGGACCCTTGTAGTTGGGGTGTGTCATAGCCTGTGTCCCTTGCCCCTTAGAACACTGAGGCCCTTCTGGCCTGTACCCAGTACGGGGGCAAGGCTGAGGCTCTCCTCTCCTGCTCGGCAGCAGGGCTGGCTCGCCATGTGTTGGCGCACAGAATTTGCTCCCTATTCTGGGACGGTCCCCCTGTATCCTTGTCTTGTCGATGTGAATGAGCGAGCAAGCAAGCTGGTCCCTTCTGAAACCCCTGTAGAGAGGTAGGCAGCGTAGCTTAGACTTCCCAGGAGGAAAAGAAGGGCTCTGTGAAGCAACAGGCGGATGCCCTCTGAACCCGCGGGTGGAGACAGGGCCCAGCCTTGCCCCTTTTTCCCCAGGAGCTGGAGCTTCTCAGGCTCAGCTGTGTCCTCCTGCCTTGGCAGAAGCTGTCGGAGAAGAAAGAAGAGACAGGAGTGGAACTTCGAGGCAAGAGCCGAGAAGAAGAAGAGCAGCGGCGTCGAGCTCAAGA